TATCAACACTTTAGATAAAATTGTTTAAAGAAAATAAATTCCAAAAAATCTTAACTCTGAATTTACATCTTTTTCATTATTTGTAGATTTGATGAAGTTGTAATTCCCACTACGTTTATGGACTTCCGTACTCTCTTCTGTGACGTACACATGACACATAAGAATAGTCACCAAAATATACTCTACTCTTAAGTATTTCCCATAGTTGTATTTATTTAATTCCTGAAAACTGTATGTTTAATTTCTGATACAATAAAAGTTATTTTATAAGACTTCATTGATATTTTCTTTATTTGCTCATTCTTTGTGCAAAAAATTGACCATTTTTTCCCTCTGTTTTTCAAATTTATTTTCTCAAAAACAGCCCTTTTTTTTTTTTTTTGAGAGAGAGAGAGAGCACGTGTGCATAAATGGAGGGGAGAGAATCTTAAGCCAACTCCACAAAGAGTATGGACCCCAATATGGGGCCAATCCCACAACCCTGAAATCATGACCTGAGCCAGATGCCCAATGAACTAAGCCACCCAGGCGGCCCTCAATAACAGACATTTTTGAGATCTGAAGGATAAGGTTGCTCCTTCGGTATATGTGCTAGACATTGCCAATTCGCATATGCTTTCCATTCCTACCCTCGTCTCTGCTTCTTCTTGACTAAAGAGAAAAATACATCTCAAAGGGCTCACCTGCAGCTGGGATTTGGGGTGTGTATGGGTCTTAGCTAATGTTCTGGTCTGGATACTATGTAGGGCAATAAAGACAAGGGCAGTTTGCTGTCTTCTCCTGCAAGCAAGCAAGGTCAAGGCGCTGTGTTTCTTTACTTGTGGCATACTCAGCATGTGTGTGTGGCCACCAGCTCTGTCTGCAGTATTGAGAGGCCGTCCCACAGGCAGTACAAGTGGTAGCAACTGCAGCTTCTTGGCTTCCGGAATATAGCTGTGACCATTGTCCTTGAACTCTCCAAAGCTGCGGGAGCCCATTACTCCCATTCTTCCATGTCTTTTATAAGCATCAAATTTCCTGTATTAAATTCTTTTCATAAAAGTACCTAGGCATTTTCTGTCTGTCACTGGACATTAACATCTAGAATATTTGGTATTAGAAGTGGTAGAGAGTAGGGCAGGGTGGAAATAAAATATAAAATGGGTACTGGCTTAATAAGTGATTAGCATGTTGGTTTGTATTAGCTTCTCTCCGCAGCCTTTAACAAAATATATGAGAGAATGACAATGTCAGGAAAATGTAACTGTATAAGCAGTAATGGAAAAAATACAGCCCCCTAAAGGAAATTCTTTTCTTATAATCTGCAATCTAAATTGACTCAGAAGCTAGAGATTTCGAGACTTAGAAGTTTAGAAGAGACAAACCAGACTTAAGAGACTGAGTGTTCTCTGTCAGAGGAAAAGTTCAGATAAATGGTGATAATCCCCATGTTACATTGATCTATTGGCCCAAATGTTTTACCCTCCCTATGTCCACACCTTTTGTCGTGTGACTTCACATCCAAGCTAAAGGTGGTCATATTACCCCCCAATCCCTTGCCTCTGGGTGTGGCTACGTGGCTAGCATTAGCTGAAGAAAACTGGGCAAAGTGAGAGGGGCCGCATCTGAGCATGGGCCTTGAGAGGCATAGCAAATTTCTGTGATTGCCAAAGCCTTCTTTTGCCTCTGCAATCACCAGCTGATGCGCTAATCAAAAGAGAATGAGTGATACCTGGAATCAACCTGTAGCTTAGAGTTACCCAGCTGAAAAGTCTAGGTTAGCTGAACCTCAACCAATGGCAGACATGCGTGAAATGAATGCTTGTTGTATAGCGCTGAGATTTCGTGATTGCTGGCATTTACAGACTGACAAACTTCCTAAGCCTACTGTTGCAGATTGCCTAACAATAACCACCACTACATTAGGAGAGAAAAAGATGAGTTAAGCATAGAGTATGGTTAATAAATGCACTGACTAAAGAACCAGGATCTGACAAGCTGATTGCTATTTTAACTTTCACATGAATGTTTCCAGAGGTAAATAACCCAGAATCCTTCTCTGTCACTGGAACTACAAGCCCGGCCTAGAAATGCCTGTGATTGTTCCGTTGATAAAGTAGCCTGAAGATTTCCAAAATGGCACCCACAGGATTCCGGCTCTGATGTCTCTGTAGTCCTGAAGAGGGTTTTTTGGTTTTTGTTTTCTGATATTTATTTCAGATATATGCATAGGTAATAATGGAGAAGTAAGAATTTCTCAGAAGGCAAAGTCGGAAGTAACAGAGACTATTGGACAAAACCATTCCTCCCAGAAATCAGAATTAGACTTTGACCAAGAAATTTAAACTACTGCCAAGGCAGAGATTCTCCACTCTTTCTTGCCAGTGGTGTTTCTTTGTTGCTATAGAATGATGACAGCTGTGTGTCGCTGGTCCTTCCCTTCAGTCAATGTGGGATTTTCATTCAACTTTCCTGTGGTATACTGATTATGTGTGGAAAATTGGCGAAGATAAATTTTCTATTTCATAGTCCATCAGATGCCAGAAGCTCCTTCTTGACAATATGGAAAGGACAGCACATCACACAGAGACCCTGGATTTCAAGTTGAATATTGTAGCTGAATGCGATTTGGGGGTAGTATCCTTGGGGAAGTAGTCAGCAAGGGTATGAGAAAAAGGAGTTCTCACCAAATGGAGTATGTGTGGAAACTGTGTTTGCAACTCCATATGGGTTCCTTGAAGGGCATATGTGTGCCATCCACTTTCTCTTTTCCCCTTTCTAAAGGTTATAACACTTGGTGCCAATAGGCCAGCCTTGAACTTGCAGAAGAGAGGAAATCCCTTCAGAACCGGAAATGGGATGAAAAAGAAGGACCCTAGATGCCTAAAAACTTCATGGAGCTTATCCATCCACCCATCCTGGAATATTCACCTTCTCCTAGAGCAGAAAATAAAAATATTTTTCTTCTTTGCTTGATCACTGATTTTCTCTCTCTCTTCCTTCCATTACTGTTCTCTTCCATAGCAACTTAGACTGTATATGACTATATATATGAGTATATTGAATAAGAAAAGTTTATACACAAATAATTATGTATCTCCTCTCTAATTAGAAAAGTAAATTAAAAAAGAATTTTTCAACAATGTTTTTATGTTATAATTTGGATTTATGCAAATGAATTCAAATTATTTTTATATGTGTACTTTCCATGCTTGTTCATCTATTCTATTTTATATTGAACTTATATTATATTTCCCTTTAATATGTTTCATTTTTCAAAAAAATATAGTTACATTTAGATGTTATCAAAATTTAAAAAAATAAAAATTTTGAAACTATGCATGGCAATGAATTTTAACTAGACTTATTGTGGTAATCATTTCACAATATATATAAATATTGAATTATGTTGCCTACTTGAAACTAATATAATATTATATGTCAATTAAATCTCAATAACTTTCCCCCTAATCTTAAATGAGAATAATGGAATTCATGTCTAAGACTAGTGTTAAGCTTTTCTTCACTTTATTCTCAAAGTAGAACCAATCAGTATTCCTCATAATGGTAAGAAATATGAAAAAGTGAGTTTTAAATAAAGATTCACTAAGCTTTGATCTAAAATTTGAGGGTCACAACTTCCAGTAGTAATAGAACTTGATTTTTCATATTAGACTTTCTCCCTTGGTACTTTTCCATTAAATCATTTCTAGCTTCAGAAATTCTAAATCACTCCATAGTTCCAGACCAAAATAGAGCTTTCTTCTATGTTCAACTAAAACCCCTGTACATTATATGGAAGACAATCATAAGGAGACTCTGAAAGACAGAAAGAAGAAACATACTATTTGGGACCTTAAGATGCAAGGAATGACACAGTGTGAATTTCATGATTTTTCTTTTTGCCTTATATATATCCCAGACTGTGTTGGAGAAACCAGAAATCTGGAAATACCAACAAAAGCAGACAATAAAATTTCTATCAAAAGTCACCTCTCGGGGTGCCTGGGTGGCTCAGTGGGTTAAGCCTCTGCCTTCGGCTCAGGTCATGATCTCGGGATCGAGCCCCACATCGGGCTCTCTGCTCAGGAGGGAGACAGTCTCCCCCTCTCTCTGTCTCGGCCTGCCTCTCTGCCTACTTGTGACCTCTGTCAAATAAATAAATAAAATCTTAAAAAAAAAAAAGTCATCTCTCTGTAGCCAAAGTACAGGGAAGAGGAAATCTAGCAAGGCCATAAAACTTATAGATAATAGCCAAACTATATCAGGCAAATACCACAGAAGATAAACAGCCCCATCTCCATTCCCACCAGTGAAGGCCATGTGGAGACCTTAGACTTTCACCCTCTCCAGGCTATAATGAGGTGTTCCAACTGCCCTCGCCAGCCCCCCGACACACACACACTGAGGTGGTGTCAAAAAAGGCTGAGTGGGGAGCCATGACATTCATACCTGCTCAAAAGTAATGTAGTCCCATGGGAATTATGAGTGTCCATCTCCACCTAGCAAGGAACCCTCCAATCTCTCGTTATGTCACTGAGAAGACCAAGAGGAAAGCTGGAACTTTCAACATTATCCAGAAGCAGTAAGGCCTTCCCTTGATTTACAGTGTCAACTGAGATAAGTAATGAGACACTGCTCCTCATCATAGCCAAGGATGTATTAGGCTAGTGGAAAGCCTGAAATCCTCCATTTGCTCATGAGGAGCAAGGCAGTCCTCTGTTCTCTGAGGTAGCAAGTAGGTAAACTGGGGAACCTGGACTTCCACCCACACCTAACCCTTGCCCCACCAGCATGGTGTCAGAAAAAAAACTGCTAAAATAGATTTAAATAATACCCAGGGTCTTGCAATACCCAAAATGTCAATGATATAACCAAAAATCTCCAATCCTTCCAAAGACCAGGATAATTTCAACCTAAATAAGAAAAGGCAATCAATAGATGTCAATACCAAGATAATACAGATTTTGTAATTATCTAACAAAGATTTCAAAACACCCATCATAAAAATGTTTCAACCAAGCTTTGCGCAGTGGCAGTATCGTAGCCAAGGAGGTTTATCCGAGGCGTGATTATTGCTAATTGAAAAATGTTTCAACCAGCACTTCATTACAAACAGGCTTGAAACACATGAAAAAAATAGAAAAGCTCAACAAAGAAATAGAAGATATAAAGAAGAACTAAATCAGAATTTAGAACTGAAAATACAACAACTGCAAGGCACCTGTGTGGCTCAGCTGATTAAGCATCCACCTCCTGATTTTGGCTCAGGTCATATCTCAGGGTCCTGAGATCAAGCCCCATGTCAGATTCTGTGATCAGTGCAGAGTCTGCTTAGGATTCTATCTCTTCTCGCCTTCTGCCCTACCTCCAACTTGTACTCTATAAATAAATAAATTAATTAATTAATTCTTTTAAAAGAAGAAGAAAGAAAAATACAGCTGAAATTTTAAAGAGTCAATGGAGGGACTCAACAGCAGAATGGAAAGAATGAAGAAGGAATCAGTAAACTTAAAGACAGATCAATAGCAATTACCAAGTTTGAACAATGTGAGAAAATACTGAAAGAAGGAAAGGGAAGGACAGGGAAGGGAAGGGAAGGGAAGGGAAAGGAAGGGAAGGGACTCCCAGAAACTTGTGGAACTATAAGAAAAGATCCAATATTTGTAACAATGGAGTCCAGAACAAGAGGAGAAATAAGGTGGGAGCTGAAAAAGTACTTGAAGAAACAATAACTGAAATTTTCCCATATTTGAGAAATGATACAGACCTATATATATAAGAAACTTAGTGAATGTCAAATAATATAATAAATCCAAGGAAATCCACACCAGCACACATCATAAACTTCAGAAAAATAAAGAGAAGGAAAAAATCTTAAAAGTAGAAGGAGAGAAATAATACCTTACCTGTAATGAAAAAACCATTTGAATAATGCTGGTTTCCTCATAAGAAACCATAAAGGCCAGAAGAAAATGGCACAATATTTTTCAAGTGCTGAAAAACAAAAACTGTCAATCGAGAATCCTATACCAGTGAAAATATCCTCCAGGCAAGAAAGGGAAATCAAGATATTCTTAAATGTAGAAACACTAAGATGATTTGTTTTCAGTAGACCTACCCTCAAAGAATCACAAAAGGAAGTTCTTGAAATAGGGAAAAAAAATGATAAAAGTACCTTAGAACATCAAGAAGGAAGAACAATGTAGAGGGCAAAAATAAGAGTAAATCCAACAGACTTTCCTTTTCATTTTCCTTTTTCTGAATTACATTGGTAATAAAAGCAATGAACATAATGTTATCTGATGTGGATCTAAATATATGTAAATATTTAAGACAATTATACATAGGAGAGGGTAAAGAACTTAAAAAATGGTACGGCTTCTATATTTGACTCATACTGGCAAGATGATGGCACCAAGAGATGTTTATGGCGATGGAATAATTCTGTATCCTGGTCGTGATGTGGTTAGAAAAAATCTACACATGTGATAAAATGGCATCAAATTCAGCACACACATCTCTGATTTTGACAGTATTCCAACACAGGATGTAACCATTAGGAGAAACTTGGGGAGAAGTAATTAGGACCCTCCTGAACAACCTTTTCTACTTCCTGGAAATCTATAATTATTTCAAAATTTAAAGAAAAAATGAAAAGAAAATCTAAGCTACTGTGGTTAGCAGAATAGACCTCAAACTAGTCTTATGACAACTAATTACCTGTGTCCTTTATCACTGTTGTGTCAGTAAGTTTAATTTGAGGTACTACAAGGATGTGAGGGTGGAAGAAGTAACTTCATAAAAATTCCCTTGGTTTAATGACTAACAAAGATATTCCAATATCTGTGGCTAAATAAAATATCTGTTTTCTCTCTTCTTTATACCTTGCTAAATAAATAAAATGGAGAAAGAGAGGAAAAGAAGTCTTAGGAACAAGGACATAATATAAAGAAAGCAGAAAATACCCACAGCCACATCTTAGCACTAGGAGGACAAAGTAAGTATTAGTACACCATTCATATTTTACTATTAGTTTTACATTACATTAGTTTTATTGAGCTGCAAATTTCATGAATCTTCAGGAATCTATTACACTAGAGTCTCAAATGGCATCTAAAAATTCTATTACCCCTTTTAAATACAGTTACTCTATCTAAACAGTTGGGATCTGTTTTCTGCATCTTGACCTATTTTAGTTAATTTTCATATTATTTTCCTCACTCTCTGTCCCTCCCCCCATTACACAAACATGGCCTTCAGGTACTTACTCCTTCTTGAGTCAATGCAATCAAAACTAATGGTAACTAAAAGGTTAAAATACATATATATATTTCTATACACTATTTTTGAAACCACTGAAATCCCCCAGAGGGTAGGAAATAACCTATCAGGAATTTCTCAATCTCAGGATGACTTCATCCAGCTTTGAAATGGCCTGAATTCTCCAACAGCTTTCTTAGCTGGAGTTAGTCTCTTGAACACATATGAACAGAAACACTTTTAAGAAAATTTCAATTTTATTAGAAGTGCCTGAGGACATGTTTTGATAGTCACAGAGAAACTAATTTCTTATTTAAAAGTCTCTCACTTGATTTCTTTTTTCATGTATAAGAAAAATAGGACTAGGATGTCAATTCTGGTCAGCTGATATAGACAGGTAGACAGGACCTTTGAAGTATAACTACATAAGTGCTTACCCCAGGCATCTCTTCTTAGTGTATGTATTCTAAAAAGATTCTCAAAAAGATTAAGAGGAACAACAAGATCAACTAATCTCCTTCTCCCCTTGTCTTGTGCCCCTCTCAATAAGGGCACCACCATCAGCTAGTAGTCCTAAACAAAATCCTGGTTTTTCAATCACTATTTTTTGTTAATTCTACTTCTAATATATCAATGTTTCTTCTCACAATAACTGTTTTTACTGCTAGTATCTCTTACTTAAAATACAGGTCCATTGTGTTCTCCACACCCTCCATTCACTGCCTCACATCAGAGTAACCCTTCTGAAACATCTACCTTATCCCTTCACAACAATGCTCCAAGGCTTCCCTTTGCTAAATGTAAAGTCCAAACTCTTTTATATACCTTTTGAAATTTATCTTTCTATTTTTTTTTAGAATTTTATCTTTTATACATTTTCTCTATTCTATACCTTTTGCTATTTGTCTAAATTTCTCCCTAGAATTTAGAAAAAAATAAGGACATAGAAAAAAATAAGGACTCTTCATTTCATACCATTTCAACCTCCATTAAGACCACTGACATCATGAGGTTCTACATTCACAGTTACTTGGATAAACAACAAATCATACATACTGTGCTAAATGACTCAAAATTATAAACTAAATCCTCTTCCAAACATCATTAGGAATCAGATCATCAACATACATGTTTCTTTCATCTAAATGACTATACTACCCAGACCTCAGATGCAGTAACATCCTTGAATTGTAGGCTGTCAAAAACCAATTTCACCAGATGAAAAGAAATCCCCCCAAATTCTCAAGCCTCACCCAGTGTTTAGTTTTTACAAACTATATGGTTATTGCAGTCAGAAATTATACATATAAAGTTATGTAATTATGAACAAGTTTATGTCACACCACCTACAAACTGTCTTGTTCTTCTTTAAGTTATTGTTATTCAACAAGCAGAGTATTTATTTTCTATCTATGCAATCAACAAAAATCAAACAACAAAAGAAAACTATTTTTTAAATTTCTACAGCTCAGAATTATTGCTATTATGTGCAACTCTAAACACACTCCTAGGACTCAAGAAAAAAGGGCACTGCTTTCTGAGCATTTATGGAAGTGGAAGAATTTGTAGAGGATATTCACTATTAGTATCTAGGTAGGAACTTCCCATCTAGTAATTTAATTTTTTTGATTTAAGGAAAGCAGCGTCCATCAGCACGTACCTTATTTCCAAAGCACACGACATCCCATTTTGAAGGACTAAGATGAGTCAAGTCTTTCATATATCTGATGAGTAGACAGAAGGAAACCCCCTCTTTTTTTTTTCTCTTGGTCAGTAAACAAACCCAGAGAGAATAGCTTTCCAGCATGTTGAAGATGCTCTGGCAGATCATTAATCCCAGAAAAATCTCTCCAAACTTACTGATGCGTGGATTCCATTTTCAAATTTCTCATTAGTTCCTCTTTATGGATTAAATGCTGATGTTCACGAGTGAACGCACACAGCTTCAGCTGATGGATGTAATTGGGTTGTAATGGATTTTAGCTGCTGTTCCTTCTGATCTAGCCAATTTGAAATGCAGTACCAAGTATTCTCCCCATCTCTCGGTGGGGAATGAGAAATTGAAACCTACAAGATGAAATTTATCAACTTTCATAAAGTCAGCTTCAACCATCATAAAACTGTTAAACTTCTCATTATCATTCTACCACAGTTATTTCTCGAACTCTGGTCTAGCAGTCAAAATATTAAAGTGTATCTGGAATAAGTAGAGTTGATCCTTCAATATTCTGTGTGTCCTCAACATTGATTTAGGTGCTGTAAGTATTACCAAGTGAAGATGACATTAACACAGCAAAATTTAACACCAGAATCATAAAATGACAAGGAAAGATTTAAAGGTTGCAAAACCTTCTGCAATTTTATATTTAAAAACATGATTTGCAGCTACGCTAGGTTCAATAACAAAGATTACATGTTTCAAAGTCTCAAAAATCACTACTTGAACTGTTCTTCTGGCATTCGATTCCTCCTGGCACCAAAACATCTAGTGACAAATGGGAGACATGGACTGGGGAGAACCCAAATTATTAGCTGTACCAGTCACTCTTCATTTTCTACACTGTCGTGTTTGTGTGTGTGTGCGTGTTTCATGTCCCAACCAGTATTTTCCTGTAGTTATATATTTATGAGCACTGTAACAGTGAGGTCAAAATTTAATTGAGCTCTACTATACTGAACTTCCCTTTTATCACAAATAGTGTAAAACAGAAGATACAGTAAAACAGCTATTAAGAATCTTCAGTGAAGAGTATCATGGGAAAACAATCTCTTACTACTATCTACCTTAAAGATTCCTTTTAAGTTAATGCAGAAATTCAAGGTTCTCCTATAATTCTAAAGTTTACTAAAATAATGTAAAGAATACTGTAAAGTACCCCTACACATTAGCACCCCA